CCCCCCCCCTTGAACTATTGGTTGGGTGCGGGTCAAAGGTAAACTATTATATAGGAAAAAAAATGTGAAAGATAAATTTTTAAATAAAAGTTTATTGAAAAAAATCTATTTAAAATAAAGAAAAATTTATGGATAATAATATATTTAATTTAATAAAATAAAATAATAACAGCCATCGGGCAATAGAGTGAAAGAGGGAGAGATGACTTTTGTCATTGTATTTTTGTTTTATATAGTGGAATAATTGTAAATAGTTAATAATATTTAATTTAATTTAATTTAATAAATAAATAAATTTATAAAATAAATGAGATAAATACAATCAAGTGAGAGAATAAATATATACACAATTTTATGTTTTACCTTGCTAGCAATAATAATTTGTTAGATTATTAAATTATTAATTAGGTAAATAATTTAGTAAAATAAGTAAAATAAATAAATAAATAAAACTTTATGTATTATCAACACAAGATTGGTAAAGGCTATCTMAAATTATTTAATTAATTAATTTAGCACCATTAATGGGTTGGGTTGAACTACTGGGTTACCGAGCCCATGAACAAGCTTAGCCCGGTTCATGGCTTGACTTGGCCTGTGGCACGACAAGGGCCTGTGTGGGCTCAAGCTAAAATAAAATTTTAAGATCTTTAATTTTTTTGTCTATTTTTTCAATTTTAAGATCTTCAAAATTTTTAAAAAACATGGCTTAGTCTTGTTCATGGCCTGACCTGGCCTAAGATTTGGCTCGTAGACCAACCCAGCCTATGGCACGACACGGGCTTACACAAGCTCGGGCCGTATATTGTATACAATAATTATATAATATATCAATATATATATATATATATATATAATTTTGTTTTCAATTTATTATTGCATATATAAACAAGTGTACACATTAAAATTCATATAAAATAAAAATTTAAGATTTTTTTTTTAATTTTTTATCTATTTTTTAATTTATAAAAACATGACTTAGCCCGATTTGTGGCCCCACCTATCCTAAGACTTGGCCCACGGACCAGCTCGGCTCACAGTATGACATAGGCCTATGCGGGCTTGGGTTGAGGCTATGCCAGGCCGACCCTCTAAAGTATCCCAGGGGAGGGAAGCACAATCCGCATTGCATGGCCTGCACGACACGACCCAACACGGCCCGATTATAAATAAAATGAGAGATAAAGACAATTTTTAACAAATATGAAAAAGGTAGAAGTTTAATGACATTATTATAAATAGTTACTAGTGGCACCATTGTAAATGATTACATGTTTAGTATCAAATATGAAAAAAGAAAAGGAAAAAAGACATGCTATAATTGTTTTTTGTTTTATTCAATGACATCATTATAATTAATTAAATTTATAATGTTAATGGTTAAAAGATGAAAAGGGAAAGATTATAAGATTTCATTTAGGTTATATAAAATAAAGATTCCATTTGACAAATGAATAGCAGTTCAGCGCCTTTTGCTTTTAGGTTATATATAGATTCTTTATTTTAGGCAAGTGCTCGTAGAGGTGAAAATTTGATTTAAACATCATTAATATTATATTAAATATATTGTATATAATAAAACTTAGTTAATTCAGTTAAACAACATTCCAAAGCAGAAAACTGGGAGTTCACATCTGTGCGCCACAAGGGTGCTTAGCGCCCCACAACGTCCCACAACACATCCCTGCCGTGTATTGGGAACATCTCTCGATGATGATATCATCAAGACTGGTACTATCATTGGGAGATGTTCACAATACAGGGCAGAGATGTGCTGTGGGACGTTGTGGGGCACAGATTTGAACTCAAAAACTGAAACCCAAACTGAATTTTTTTGTTAACCAAACAATGCTCACCCTAAGCAGTCAATCTAGATGTTCGAACCATTTGTTAAACAGGAACATGTGAATTAAGTCATCAGGTCCGTGGTTTTGAAAACCATACCGGACCAGACAGTTGGACCGGTTGACTCAAGAACCGGTCATGGCTCTGATCAGGTTTTGAACCCCAAAGCCATCCGACCAGGGTTTGGACTGGATGGTCGAACAGTTTGACCCAGTAACAGATAGTCAAAACGGTTCAATTTCCGGGTCAATTTTTAAAACGATGATAGGTCACTTAGCCAGGACTTCAAAAAACTTTTCTAAAGTTGATGCCCTTGTTAACTTAAAATTAAAAAGAAAAAAAATCACAGCACAGTGAAAGTCAAAATGGAAAATCAGCCGTATCATACGCTATGATCTATCATCATCCTTCAAACTGGATCGGCTGATGAGCTCTCAAGAGGCAGACAAGAGTGGTGAACGACACTCAGATTGACAACCAGTGCTTGCAATATATATATACAAGATTCCTCGCACTTTGCGACCTGCAGTGCTAGAGTATATAGGAGCAATTTCTGCCTACACTTAACCACTAATTCTGAAGCTACGCTTGCTATTGTGTGCACTTAAGATGATTACAAAAACATAGCACGTCAGTTCTGGTTGAGAGACGGTAATAGGAATAGCATTTCCAAATTTCCAATAGAAATAGCATCAAATATCAGTGCGGAGGTGGTTTCTGATTCATATCCCTGGCAAGTCTGACAAGCATGAGAATACTAGTAACCTTAAGAAAACTCCATAACAATAGGGGTAATGGAATATTTACCAAAAACTTCATCACGATTTTTGTGATTGTGACCTGTCAAATATGTTTAAGATAAAGCTTCAATTCTTTATAGTGGATTTACTTGACAAGAAGGAAAATCTCCATTGTCAATCATCAGTGTCATGGTCCAACGCAAGTAACTTAGTAATTCTAGAATGTATATATGCAAGGTATCCTACATCCTTAAAATCGAAAACATTATGGAGTATCTGATTTTATTTGGGATAAAAATGAGTGCTACATTCACAGAACTCTATCCTTTTACATGGTGGTATACATTCTGATTATCTTTTTCCCTGCACAAAGGGAATTGGGAATAAATGTCATTCTCAGGTGATGGTTTACAATATCAAATCTATGGATTAAATGAACATGGGACCACTCAACTGCCTCCAATAGATCGGGTCCTATTTCTGGAAAGAATTTTAACATTTCAGCTCCCATGCACTCCTCAAGATTTAAACCATCGGCATTTCCTTGACGATAACCATCCACAGTATATAGCTGTTAAACTGCCTGAACAAATCTGCTAACTGTAAAATGAACATGTTGGCAAGAATATATTCAGAAAAAGGTGAATGCGATTGAAATATCACATGATCCCTGTTGCAATACTGGAAGTTGCATTGATCTTTAGAGAGTGCTCCGGGATATAGGTAAGACCTGCATTGTAAATATGCTTTCCAATTAGAATTTAGAACATCTTATTTGTTTATCATTTACCAAACAGAATTTGGGGTTAAAAACTGGAAGAAAATTATTCAGACAGTTCCCTCTGACAAACATCGAGGCATATATCATTTGCACTTCACACCAAGGCATCCGCATGAAACAACATAAGATCGCAATGTACAATTAGAAAAATGCCCTAGGGCCATAACCCTGGGTAGGATTGTTTTAGTTCAAGATGAACAGTATGCACTCTGAAGAAGAAAGAAAGAAAGAAAGAAAGAAAACATTATAAAGGAAACAACTTGTAGGGGGCATTTGTCTTGCTTAACACAGAACTTGCAACTTCTGCATAAGAATTATACCTTGTGGATTAAAACTGCATTAAATAGATAAGGATAGTGGGTATTATGGTCATATACATTATAAAATTTCAAGAAGGTTATTTTTGACATTTTATTAGGAGGTAACAGTCACTCGGAAATATCTCTAGAAAGAACAAGGGGGCAATATGGACATCTTAACATTTCAATGAAAGTGTTAAAGAAAATGTGTTCTAAAAACAGATGTCTAGAAAAGTGAAAAAGAAAAGCTAATATTCAAAGTTCCAACAGAATTTAATCTGGAGCTCCTTCAAAAGTTAGCTCCTTAAGTGGACAGCAGCTTAACAAAAATGGTTTGACTTGTGACAATTCAGAGCAGGAGGCTGAATTTGAATTGTGGAGTGTGCTTTCAGTTTTGCTGAGGTGGAAACAGTAAACCATTTGTTATGGGTGAAGAGATCTGCAAATTCCTTTGCAGATACTCTGGCTAAACAAGGGGTGGGAAGGGAACATTTGTTTTGGGCAGTGCTGTAACTGTTTTTTTGGCTTTCTTGGGGAGGGTTAAGAGTTTTTATCTCTCCCCTTTGTTTCCTTTGTAAGCTGCATTTCTCTTTTTAATAAAATTTTCTGTTGTTGATCAAAAAACAAAAAACAGCAAACTATTTGTTTTTGCATTGCCCCTTAAAGCTACGTGTTGAACACAGTGTTTGAACCTTTTGGGTGGTCAGCAGCTTGGGTGCTCAAGTAAAAAAGGGAAAGTAGCTGTGGCCTAGACCCTATGACTGTCTTTTGGTGTCTGGGTTGAGAGAAATGCCTGGATCTTTAAGAATATTTGTTCCAAGCAAGAGGTGCTGGGGAAAGTCAAAGGAAAACTTTGCTTTTAGTTGGCAGCTTACAAGGACTTCCTATGAGTCTCCACCGTGATAATCAAGCTGATACACATTATTTCTAATCTCTAATCCGGTATTACATGAGAGGACAACATTTTTTTTTGAGAAAAAGTAAAGTATAATTTCATTGAAAAAACCAAAACAAGTATAACAAGCTGCTATACAAATGGGGTATACACAGCCAATGCCCATACATTCCTAAACCCCCACCCCCTACTTTACAAAAAGATTATCATATACAAAAAGGAATTGAAGTTTCTTTCCCTACACAGTTTGTTTATAGCCAGCCAGGAAAACAATTTTCCCAAAATTTTCTGAAAAACTGTCTACCAAGTTGCTTTTGTTTTTAAACATCCTCGAGTTTCTCTCCTGCCATACACACCAAAAAACTGCTGCAGGAGTAATATTCCATGCTACCTTCCCCCTTTTAGTTAGACCACCAAACTCTTAAAAAGGAGAGAGACAGAGAGGAAGAAGAGGAGGGGGGGCAGATTCTTGATCTTCTACTTGGCTATCTTTTTTTTTTTTTTACTGAAAATGTTACAGCTCACTTGGAAGAGGACATTAGAGATCGCTTTCAGAGACAGCAAAGCCGTGAGACCGAAACCCAGAGAGTTCAGATTCTCTTTCGTGAAGAAAAGGTGAGTTGCAGAGACTCCATTGTCGGAGATTTGAAGCTTTGTTGGTTGCAGAGCCAGCAGAACTTTGAATGGACCTCAGGTTGACTTCATTTGTAACAAGTTGTGATTACATGATATATACTCACCAACTTGAGGAGTGTTGAGGAATCATGGTGTTTGATCTATGTTGACATTGTTTAGATGAGATTGCAAGTTGATGGTGCGCAATCCGGCCGGTCCTAGCTGTCAACGATCTTGCCTCTGGCTGGAGCAAAAGGTGCCTGAAACGGAGGAGAAAGCGAGTAATCTCCGGGGAAGGACCCAGTGAGAGTGCTCCGAAGCTCAAGTTAGTATTTCCTCAAGGCAAGATAAAAAACCAGATGGCACAAAGTTATCACATACCTCTCTTCTTGGGGGGAAGGGGGCCTTTTATAGCCACTTCGCGCACTCACTCCCAAGCTCCTGTCAGGTCGGGTATCATTACCTCTGCACTTCTGCCAATTCGGGTGTCATCACCTCTGCTGGGGCAGAACCGCCACTGCTCTCTTTGTCGGAGCCGTCTCTGTAACTGGAGGTGGCGGTGGCAGGTGGCCGTTGAAGTGCGGCTGTCAAGCGTCAGATCCCAAGTCAGTCAGGTGTGCCGCCTCAAGATATGGACTCCTTTGGTGTCAGGTACGATACGGTTGTTCAGTTCAGCGACCTGGAGATGAAGTGCTGGAGTGGTGTGCGAGGTGAAGTCTTGAGTTCTAAGAGAGGTGTGGCCCGAACTGTCCTGGGGCGGGCCAGTTCGGGTTGTTGCCCTTTGCACTCCTCGTAAGGCTCGGGGTTAAAGGGAGAGTTCGGGCTCCTTTTGGGGAGCTCGAACCGCTGGTTCCTCCTTTTGGAGCTCGCGCCTGGGGCATATTGTCGTGCCGAGCTGTTGCCTCTGCCACGTGTTGAGTGGTTACGAGGTCGGGCCAAATCTTCCTTCATCACAAGTGTTTGGTCAGCAGGGTAATTATGTCTTTCTTTTCTTTTATTAGGAACACTCCGATCTTATTTTTTACTGAAAAAATAATTGTACATGCAGTTACATAATAAAATACCCTACCAGTGAGATTTTTTCTAATCTAATCTCAACCAAACAGTGAAGTGGGGATTTGCTTTTTTATCAGCCCAAGGTGAGTACTTTCTCGCTTTCTTTTTATTGCCGAAACTTTGCTTTGACAGATTACAGGTTCCTCATCAGCTGGATCGACAGATTTTCAAGTTGAGGGGGACTGTCAAGTTGTCATTAATCAGCTAAAATCAGGGAAGGAGGTGCTTCGGAGTATTGAGATGCCTGGCTAGACAAGCTAGAGCACTGGCAACCAACCTGAATTCTCTTGCAAGGTTGGGAATCACAATGGAAGATTTGGTGTAGGTGAACTAGGGCTGGGTGATTACTTGTAAATGGGAAGAAAGTTAAAGAAAAAGGGTTTTGGACAACATCATGTTGTTTTTCTTTCACTACTCTTATAAAGTTGTTATTGATATAAATAAAACTTGATGTCACATTGCTTATCAGGAAAACAAAAAAACAAGGTGTTCCACTGTGTTTGCATGCATGCATAAATTACTTCTTGAGACCTGTTAGCGTAGGGGTATTTCTGTCTTTATACTTATGTTGAGGTTGCTGATCTGTAATATTATGTTAGAACTAGTGTCCCTTACTTAATAAAAGGCACYTGTGTCTATTCCATTATATTAATAATATAAAAACATGTCTGGCCGAATGGGAGAGTGATTTTTCCCTAATTCGAACCAAACTTTTCTTCTCTTCTTTTCTCCTTTCTCTCTCTCCTTCTTCCTTCTTTCTTCCTCTTTCTTCTTGATTGTTAACAAACAAACAAAACTCAAAGGCAGGCCGAATTATAACATGGTATCAGAGCACAACTAAGCAACTCAGATCTACCTAGATTTCTGTTCTCTACGCACTCAATCTAGGGTTTTCCCTTGATTTCCCTGCCATCGATTGGAGATCAGGGAAAGGGCTGAAAAGGAGTGATTGTCCTCTTCCCTTGGAGGTTTCTATGCCTCTAGCTGTGTCTTGTGTGGTCGGTTGCTGTGGTTTCTAAGCCCTCCCCTAATCGATGTAGGGCCGATTCGTGTGGTGCAGTGGGTGTCTTGTGTGAACTGATTTTCTTCTCGTGTGGTTGCCTTTCAGGTGATAAGGTAAGAGATTTCTATGCATATTTTCTGTTATGAATCAAATAGGAAGTATGTTTCAGATCGTATGATGGGATTTCAGACTGTAGTGTGCTAGGGTTTATGCTGTTTTTTGTGTGATTCGAAGGAGAAGTGGTGCTCATATAGTGGTGAGATTTCAGGTAGCTGTAGGGTAGGGTTTGTGGTGTCACGAGTGCAACTTTCAGCAATAACAAGTGCTGAAACCAGTGTGATCAAGTCGTGTGCAGTGTGCAGAATTCAGTGATAACAGAGTTCAGCAAGTGTGCAGAATTCAGTTATAACAGAATTCAGCGATAACAGAGTTCAGCAAGTGTGCAGAATTCAGTTATAACAGAATTCAGCAATGGGAGATACAGTGATAGCAAATCTAATGTGATGATACCTACTGACTACCTGAATGTTCAAATGACCTCCATTAAACTGAATGGGGAGAATTAGTGTAAATTTCATGTTTCTTGACACTGCCAAAGATGTGTAGGACCATGCTAAGAAAATGTATTCTGGTCAAGACAATACAACCAGGGTATATCAGTTGTATTAGAAATACTTCAATCTGCAACAAGGCAATCAGAGTCTTGAGAAGTACTATGCCAGTATGAGAAACATCCGTAATGAGTTGAATGTTTATCACCCCCTCACTTCTGATGACAAAATTCAGCAACAACAAAGAGAACAATTTGATGTGACTCGATTTTTGGTGGGGCTGAAATCTAAGTATGAACCAGTATGGGCTCAGATACTAGGGGGATCAACTCTTCCTTCTTTAGAAGAGGTGTTTGCTCGACTTTGGAGGACTTCTATTGGATCTACTGAGAACTCTAATGTCTCAGATAGATCAGCCTTTGCAGTGTCGAGAGGCCGTGGTGTTAGAGGTGGAACTCGAGGAGCTCAGTCTGGCCGTGGTGGTAAAAGTGGTCTGGTATATCGCCGGAGTGGCAATGGTGGACCTACAT